TTTTTTTGAGACACAGTCTCGCTTTGTTGCCCAGGCTAGAGTGAGTGCTGTGGCGTCAGCCTCGCTCACAGCAACCTCCAACTCCTGGGCTCAAGCAATCCTCCTGCCTCAGCCTCCCGAGTAGCTGGGATTACAGGCATGCACCACCATCCCCGGCTAATTTTTTCTATATATATTAGTTGGCCAATTAATTTCTTTCTATTTATAGTAGAGATGGGGGTCTCGCTCTTGCTCAGGCTGGTTTCAAACTCCTGACCTCGAGCAATCCTCCCGCCTCGGCCTCCCAGAGTGCTAGGATTACGGGCGTGAGCCACCGCGCCCGGCCTGCAACTCCCTGTTAAAAGGATTAATCTTTTAAAGTACTCTCAGCTCAGTGCCTGGCACATGCTAAGCACTATCTCTGGTTTTGCAATTATGATTATGCCTGGAACATTCTTTCCTACCTTTCCTCTGCTCCCTTTGCCTGGGCTATGCTCTAATCATCTTTCAAACCTCAAATCAGATGTTTCCTTCCAAGAAGCTTTCCCTTCTGCCTAGCTTGGGCGTCTTTCCAATCAGGGTCACCGCTGATCCCCGTGGGCTTTCCATCAGTTACAAAAAGGCTCCCCTTCCTCCAGGTAGGTAGCACACGTCTTGAGGAGCAGAGGATAAGCTGGACTTCAGCCTCCCCTCGCCCCTTCAGCCAAGAGCCCTTGAGCAGCCACACCCTGCACAACCGCACCACTGCCCTGCCACCAACATGCACTCACCGCACTTGCCACACGCCACTGCCATCATCCCTTGCCTGCATCCGTCCAGCAGACTGAACTCTGCAAGGACAGGTCCATGATCGCTCCAAACGAAATCCTCAATACTTGATATATCACCCAGCACTTAATAGGTGCTCAGTAAATATTTGTTGACTACATGAATGGACCATGAAGAAAGAACCATGTGCCCTGTATCCTTCCCTTGGGGCTGTTTATATCTTTCACAGTGTCCCAGCCAATGAATCATACACTTTATCATTACCAGCACTGTGGTTTTTGTTTTGTTTGGAGTGGGGGGGACCGAGGGAGAAGCTTCCAGACCCTTCAATTCATACGGACAGTGTAATTCAGGCTCCAGCTAACAAGTGTGCTCTGCGCTAAGGGCCCTCATCCAGGTGCTAATGGCACCTCTGCAAATGCAACCCTCTCTAGTAAATGGCAAAGAGCTAATCTAGGGCCCAGTGGAGCTTGCCCAGGCTTGGGCAGAACGTGTAAAGCCTAAAATATTTCCCTGGATAGCTCAGAAGGCACTGGATGGGGCAGCTGCTCCCAGGCACTGCCCACGGGGCCAGAAGGCAGGCATCCAAAGCCACGTGCCAGGTGAGCAGCCATGCCTCGTGCACGCCCACTGCCACACAGCGCTGCAGGGATGAGACTTGAGCCAATCACAGAAGTCAGCGTGGCCCCTATATTCAGTAAGCAGGCAGTAGTTGTGGCTTATTAAAAAGGACAGGCAATCACGCAGTCTCGCCTCGACAGTTAAAGTATGGGTTTCAATTAGTGTCTCTAGGGTGGAAGGTGGGTGAGTGAATGTGCTAGTGAATGTGTTCCTGGTGGCAGGAACCATAACACTCTGGGCACCAGGAAGCCTGGGGGGAGCTCTGGCTCCACATTACTGAAACAAGTCACCTTCCCTCTATGTGTCCCCAAGTGTCAGTTGACAGTACAGAGGACTTCCCACCTCCTGGAATTATTTTGAGGATAAAATCAGACAAACATAAATAAAAGCTGTCTGAAAGTAAATTATTCTCTAAGTTACCATCCTCATCAAGTTGCATAATTGCTCTGCACTATCACCCAGCTTTTTTTTTTTTTTTTGAGACAGAGTCTCACTTTGTTGTCCAGGTTAGAGTGAGTGCCCGTGGCGTCAGCCTAGCTCACAGCAACCTCAAACTCCTGGGTTCAAGCGATTCTACTGCCCCAGCCTCCCAAATAGTTGGGACTACAGGCATGCCCCACCATGCCCAGATAATTTTTTTCTATATATATTAGTTGTCCAATTAATTTCTTTCTATTTATAGTAGAGACAGGGTCTCGCTCTTGCTCAGGCTGGTTTCGACCTCCTGACCTCGAACAATCCGCCCGCCTCGGCCTCCCAGAGTGCTAGGATTACAGGCGTGAGCCACCGCGCCCGGCCTATCACCCAGCTTCTAAGCTGCCTCTCCTGCTGGGATCCTCTTCTGCTCCGCGTATACTTCACAATGGCCTCTGTTAGCCCATTTGTCTGAGCTGGTGATAAGTGACTCCTCTAGGTACATCCTAGGCTTCCTGGGGAAATGATTTCATTGCGTATTTTCCTGGGTCCTTATGACCCACAGCACAGCACTTGGCACACAGCAGACTCATTGAATATCTGCTTAACTGAATATAAACGATGCATTTGTGTGAATGCGTGTGCATGCATATATTCACCCTTCAGTCTTCAGACGATCTGACCATTGGAACAACCAAGAAATACTCTTGGTAACAAGGTAGGCAGTGTCATAAAACGTCCAATTCCATTATACTCAAAATAGGGCTCCAAAACCTTGGCTGATGCAGTCTGCTGGACACTTCAGGAATATTTGACATGTTAAAATCCAATCGAACCCACTAACTGGGAAAAAAAGGAACTCGCAATAGGAGAATATGACCTGTAGATCACAATGGCCGCTGCACAGACACCTTCCTTGGATGAGCCTCAGCAACTCGCCCAGAGGCACCTGCCTCATCAGCAAGGGCCAGGTGGGGCCCATATCTGATTTGGCTTCAGCAAGGTTCTTACAGTAAAAGTCGTCCTAGCAACACAATCATAACCGGTAAGAGTTAGTCTGTTAATCAAAGCAGATGCTAAAGCAAAGAATCATAGAAAACAAGATGTGCATAATTTAAACATTTTATTGTAACATAAAACATATACGTGTACGTTTATTCACTGATATTCTGGTGTAGACTGGCGGTCTTTCCTCTAGATATAGGTCCACAGATGAATCTCCCAAAGTCTTACTTGCATAAATAATATACTGAGTCTGATTTCTAGTTTTGCTTTCTTCCAAGCAGATTAAGAATTTAAATCTAAATTAAAGAATTTAAAAACATTTGCTAAGTAATCTAGATGCAGAATCCGTCCAGGGTTTTTAGTTTCCCTCCAACTTGTTTTACTGTTATCTTCTTCATACCTAATTCACTGGCAACTTCTTTTGTAGCAACTCACTTGTATCAATTTTGTTCAAAACATACAGCAATTACAACAGACTAGATGTTAAGCACTTAGAAGGTCGCCTGGCACAAAGTACTCAATGAATGTTAGTCATCTATTTTTTTCTATTAACTGATGTAATAATTAGTCAATTACAGTAACAATTTTAACTGGTGCAGACAGGTTAGGAACTTACACAATTGGTTCTTGGTATGCAGTCAGCCCAAATGGAAGGAACAGAACTACGGTGGCACATAAAGACAATAGTAATAGTAGCATGTAGCAGCAGTGGCCGTTAATGCCTTGCAAAAGGAATGGAGATCAGCAAGTTAAATAGAGGTCACTTAAGAGGGCTGCTTCTCTGATGAAGTCCAATCTCTTACCCTTCCCCTGTGGACTCCATCCTCAACCAGGGCCAGTGCTTGGCATAGCAGAGGCTGGGACCCACACAAAGGCGCCCAGCTGAGTGGGTAAGTGGGGCTGAAACCCATCCATGCCCCCCTCTCCAAGCCACACATCCCAGTATGGGGCTGTCTCTATCCAAAGAGGTGGCACCTTTCCATAATTTGCACATTCATTCTCCTTCCTCCTCCACCCCCACCCTGCCTCCTACCCTGTGTTCTCCTCACTCACGCCCACGTGTTACCCAGAACACAATTAGGCAGAACTGTTAGATCCATGCACTGCAGCACACCGTAAATGACACCTTCATTAAAAACAATAGCACCAAGGAAGAGCACGTGAATGTGATTAAATCTGCAGGCATGTCCCGCTACGACTGGCCACACCAGCTGGGACAGCAACTCTGTACTGAGCCTAGCTGTGCACCTGGCCACTCCCCAAGTACTTCATGCTCCTTCATGTCACCCTTAGAGGTAGACAAGTGGACTGCAAAGGACTTACATGTCTCCCATGCCCTCTGAAAAGGACTCATTTCTTCTGAAGACCAAAAGTAACAGCAGCAAAAGTAGCTTTTATTTGTAGAGTGCACTTAACGTTTTCAAAATACATAGCTAAAACTTTCCCTGCAAAGTCTCCCTTCAAGTGCTGTACCTGAGGATGTGTTAGAATGGGTGATCTGTGTCCATGTGAGCTAATAAAGGACTTGGTCGTGTTTTAATTCTTTGGACCTCATTCCCATTCTTGTCAATCGACTGTCAACTGTCTGTGTTAATTTCAGGCAGAGGTAAGAAAGTTAACCCAAAATCATGTGTGTTAAAATCTATTAATGGATTGACCAGCATCCCCTACAAACCAGGCACTGAGCTGAAAGGGGGGTTATTTTGCAGTGGGCCTCAATGTCCACATAAATCCCTGTGCAAAGCAGGGAAACAAAGGCAGAAAGTGGCCGGAGGCATGAGAGTGAGTGAGTGAGTGACTGACTGAGTGGCAGAGATCTAGAAATTAAATCCAAACCTCTTGACCTCTAATCTTGAGGCTGTATTGCCTTCCCAAGTTCCAATTTTACAGTTAACTGGCTTAATAAGGGCTTTACTGGATTGAAGTCAACATTAAAAGACATTAGATTCCACCAGCCCAATCTTTGGCCCTTTGTCTCTAATGAGAATTTGCCCAATTAAAATTTCAACATCGGGTCTAACCTGAGGGATCTTGGCTTTCAGCCTGAAGCTCTTGAGAAGACTTGATTAACTTAGGAGTTCCTGCCACAGAGAAAGATTCAAGAATCCTCTCCAGCAAAGGTGAGCTGGCCTCTGTGGAAAATGAGAAATGAACTGGTTTAAATCACCCCCCTCTCACCCGTCACTGAGATGAATTCAATTTAACATACATGTATTGCGTTTGCATGCAGGCCAGGGGTTAGCCTTGGCTCTGATGAGCGTGCTACCATCAAGACGACACCATCTTCATTCTCCAGTAACTAGCAATTTAGCTAGATGAGGCTCCTCTGATGCCTGAGGAGGGTGAAGACATGTCCACGAGGCAGCACACCTGCACGCAGAGCAGGCCGGTGCAAGGAAGCCAGACATCAGCCAGGCTATTCTGCAATCAGTGGACCAGCCTGTGAGCCGAGTTTAGCTTGAGAGAGACTACATCTCTATACAAGGAAATAGAGTAACAGCAGACTCCTACACCGCCCCCACCCCCAAAAAAAAAAACAGGGTGGAGTGTTCTTTTCAAGAAAGCAAAGGACAGAGAGAGGAGACAGAGGACCACAGGGATGACTTGTCTTGCCTCCTCATAGCTTACCAGGGCAACCTATGAGAAAAGCATGTGCTTTAATAAGAGACAGGAGTAGAAAGGCAGCTCCACTAGTTACTGAGTATCTTGGGCGCCCTGCTCAAGGTTGAAGCCCTGAACTGTGAAAATATGAATGGCATGTTGTGAGACTTAAGTCCACTAGAAATACTTTCCTGGAGGCTAAATGAGATAGCATCTGTACAGCATCTAACATTAATAAGGGCTCAATATAATGGTAGTTTTTATTAGTAACTGAGGGAAATGTTAGCACAGTGCCTGACATGGTAGGTATTCAAAACTGCTGTTTGGTATCAGAAAGAAAGTTGGAGAGCTATAACTAGCACAGGGAATGCAGAGTTTAATTGTCCTATGGAGTGCAAGGTGGAAAGAAGCCAGATGAATGGGAGACCAGAAATAAAAATCAAATACTTTGACACATAGAGGTGATCGATAAACATATATGGAACAAAATGAATGACAATATAAAAAACGAGCCTGTATCTGTCACTTACAATATGGCTCTAAGCTGGTGCTAGAGAAGTGGCATGAAATGTAGGCTCTGCTCCTAACCAGCTCTCAGACGATCCCTCTGGCCTCAGTTTCTCATCTCTGTGGGATGGGACCAGATGATCTACATGTCCCTTCATGCACTCAGATTCTATATTTTTTTTGATTTATTCAACTGCTGAGACAGGTAACAGCAAATGATATGACGGATCACTGAACGGACACATGGATGCATGCGTGTGTCTGGGATGTGCATGGAAACACACTCATGTCGTGAGTGAGCGAGGCAGGCAAGTGGTTCCTTAAACACTAGCTTCATGTGGACCGAGGGACGGAATGCCAGGAACCAACCACCATCACCTTTTTTTGTAACTGCCCCTAATCATACTGCCACGCACACAGGCCTGGTTTTAATTAAGCAGAGCAGTGAATGCCATCAGTCTGGCCACTAAAGCTTTGATCTCCCCGTGGGGCACGTTTCCGCACCGTTGACCACGCTCCAAGAGCCTGAAACACAAGCCGGGGAGAGAGGCTTTGACAGTTCAGCCTTAACGAAGCTCCCCAGGGTCCCTTTACAGGTGTGTGCCACAGTGAGAGGCCACCAAGGTGCAGAGGCCACCGGGAGGGCAGTGGAGACAGGCAGCAAAGGCTCGTGGTGCAAAGCGCCGATACAGGCATGACAGAAGGCTCCTGTGGTTTAGAGACACTCTTAAACAAATGCCCAGTGACGGTCATGCTCGTTGCTACATAGGGCAACGAAATCCCGACACAGAGCAAAATGTTCTGTGGTGGGGAGATGACTAAGATTACGTTCAAACTCAGGTTAGCGGAGTGAACGCTTCCATGAGAGGAAATCTCTCAGAATCAGGTCCCCAGGGTCTAAACCTCACAACAGTTGACCCCAAAAAAAAAGTTGTAAAATGTTGAACAGGAAAATTTTCCCTCTTTTTGCATTACATCTCTTCTTCATGTATTAAGGACTCACTTCCTCATGTATTAAGGACTCACCTTCCTCATGTATTAAGGACTCTCATGTTTAAAACAATAAAAAGTGGCAGCCCGAATCTAAATGTACAGGTTGAGAACGCTACGAGCAGACACAGGCGGGCCCTGGCAGAACAGCGCACGAGAGAAGCATGGCGGGGTTGGGATCAGAGCCCGGTTCTGCTCAGCAGCTGCTTACATCGTATGGTTTGCAGGACGCCAAAAGCAACAGCCTCCTCTCCTCCATTGCTACAAATCCCCCACCCCATTTGGTTAAGCACAGAGTGTGTGGGGTGTGGAGTGGGGGACCTTCAGCCGAGCACTGTGACAGCACCCCTGTGGGTTCTGGAGGGGACTCAAGAGTTGTCGTGGCCCACGTTCCCCCCCATGATGTGAATCTGAGACTACACTAGAAAGATCACAGAGAGCAGGACAGCAATAATTTAGAGGAGGGAGTGAGTTAGGAAGGATGGGGACATAAAATGGCACAGGATACAGACAGAAAGACAGACCGGCTTCACTTGGGAGAGATTTATAAGTTGGAGACCTTGGGTAGCTTAGGGGGGAAAAAAGATGCCAAAATGCTCTTGCTGACTTCATGAGACAAAAATTTCTATAGAAGAGACATCCTAGAATACAGCTCTCACACTGCCATTCCCCAGTCTGGTCCACACGCTGCTGACTTTCCCACCATCTGGGGAACACGATCCACACTCCTTAGCGTGGCACTCCATGTCCTCTGCAACATAAGCCCAACCTGACTTACTGCCTTCACCTTCTTTTAAACTCTTCTTGTTCTCAGGGACACCATGCCATCTCACTGCTAGGATACCAGCTCTGCATTTTCCCACTTCTGGATGCTGTAAACCTCAGCCCACAGCTTTTTGTCATCTTCATCTGCTGCAATGACACCCATTTTTCAAGGTCCGGCTCACACGCCCCCTTCTCCACGCACCCAGTGCACATCTCTCCTGGAGCCCTGACCACATTCCGCCTTGTGTCAGCAGCTCTTTCTATGCATGTTGGTCTTTCCCACTAGACTTTAAATTCCTTGGGGGTGAGACCACGTCTTGTTTATCTTCCTATATTTCCAACAGCAGACACCGTGCCTTCCTCAGAGTAGATGATTACTAAATGTGGAATGCTTCCCTAACTGTCAGGTTTAAAAGGAAAAAAGATAATCATACCCCTTTCACAGACTGCTCCAAAGTGCCAGCATCAGATCCCACATCCCAGAATATATTCAGGACCCTTAACTACCTCATGTAAGTTCTTGGAAAAAGAGGAACCACCTAGTAGACCAGGCAAATTCTCACAAGATCTGGACACAAAGCAAAGCTTTTAGGGGCATGAGTTCAAAGCTCTGTCTTACAAGTATAAGTCCCACAGGGTCATATTATTCTTTGAGATTGGACCACGAAGTACTACAAATGAATGATAAAAGTTCATCAAGTGTGTCTAGGGCTGGGGTTGTTGGAGGGGAAATGGGAGTGACTGCTAATGGGTATGGAGTCTCTTCTTGGGGTGATGAAAATAATGTTAAGTTGTAGTGATGGTGGTACAACTCTGAATATACTAAAAATCACTGAACTATACATTTTAAATGGAGTAAACTGTATAGTATGTGCATTATCTCTCAATGAAGATGTTATTTTTAAAGAAGTACATCAAGTAAAGAAAGGCCCCTTACTCTGAGAGCAGCAGGAAAATGGCCAGGCCAGAGTCCAAAGCAGTCTGACCCTTGCAGTTAAGAGTCAGGGCTGCAACAGTCCAGCTGTTCCCCGCCCCCAACCACCGCCATGAAGGGCAGTGGGCCTTGGGGTGGGGAGGAGCCACCTAGCAAGCACTGTCACCTGTGGCCATAAGGATCAGCCTCACCAGGGCTTCCATGCACAGCTCAATATTTTCAAAGTGTAATCCCTGGATCAGCAGTATCACCACTACCTGGGAATTTATTAGAAACGCCAGTGCTTGGCCCCACCCCTGAATCAGAAACCTTGGAGGCAGGGCCCAACAATCTGTATTTCAATAAGCCCTCCAGTAGAATGTCATGCATGCTAAAATTTGAGAACCAATGCACAGGTTAATTTGTAAGGGCACAGACTACTGAGACAGACTGTGTCAATTTGAATTCTGCCTCGTCTTCTTACTGGCTACGTGACCTTCAGCAAGTTGCCAAACCTCCGTGCATTAGTTTCCTGCATATGAAATGGGGAAAAACCAACCATTCTTATTTATTATAGGGTTATTATGAGGATTAGATGAGTTAATTCATGACAAGTACTTAGATCAGTATCTAGTATATAATAAGCTCAAATATTTGTCTTTAAAAATTTTTTATAGTCTAATTTGAGACTGGTCTCATGGACTTTAGGAAAGGCCAAACTAGTATAAAGTTGAAGTAGGCTAGCAGAATCAAAACACGAGAACCCCACAAAATGGACAAGCGGTCTTCTAGCTGTGTTAGCAGACCTTCCTGCAAAATATATACACAAATACAGCACAAAGGAAGATCAAAAACATTCCCATCTTCAGTTTCCCTGAAGAAAATTAAAAAAAAAAAAAAAAGAACTTCTACTTTTTATGACAGAGCAGAGGGAATAAAATGCTTTACATAGAAGAGGCAAAATAAATCAATTCCAATTTAATCCCCAATCCCCGAAAGGAAGAAAGGAAATGAACAGTGCCAAGTATTTTGATCACAGCCATTAGCAAGCAGCTTTTAATAGAAACTGAATAAACCACCTTCTTTTATGCCATAAATTCAGAGAGACTAGGTTTTCTGCCACCTTGAAGACTCCTGGTCATGACCTTTCAAACTTAGAAGGCAAAAGCTTTGCACATTACACACCCAGGCTCATGCACTTGCTGGAATCGATTCCACTCTCCAGGGTACCCATTTCCCTCTCAAATTGTGACCAACCTGAGGCCCAAAGGTCTGGACCCCCAACAAGCACCACTTCCTGGAGTTATAAAGGACCCCTCTGTGCCATGAGAGCATGCATTCATGTGAACTGTGTGTTCATTAAAGAGGATTTGAAAATACATGAACGTAGGAAGAAGAAACCAAACAGCCCACTATCACCCCCCAAAATAACCATTGTTAATAATTTGGTATATTTCCTTTCTATCTTTTTCAATACATAGGTTTCTGTTTGTAGTTCTGCTGTCGCTGTTGTTATAAAATTGCTATTCTATTTACACACAATTCTGCATGCTGCTATGCGACACAACATAAGGCTTTTCCCAAAATTCCTTCAATTTTTAGAATATCGCTTTTAATTATATGTACGATTCCATTATGTGGCCACATAATTACTATAATCCTATGCCAATTATCAAATTATTGCCTCTGAACTCCAAATCTACCCTGCTTTGCCCTGTTTTCTGATACTGGAGTTGGCCCCTGTAAACTGCATTATCCAATACCGTAGCCACCGGTCACATGTAATTATTAAGCACTTGAAATGTGGCTAGAGTGAATTGAGATGTGCTGTAGCATAGAATGCATACCAGATTTTGATGACTTAATAAAAAAATGTAAAATATCTCAATAATATTACGTTGATTACATATTAAAATAACATTTTGAATATGAATATATTGGATTAAGTAAAATATATTATTACAATTAAGGCAACAAAAAACTAAAAATTGCATTGCATAAAAATTTAACACCTCTCGGCCAGGCATGGTGGCTCACACCTGTAATCCTAGCACTCTGGGAGGCCGAGGCGGGTGGATCGCTCAAGGTCAGGAGTTTGAAACTAGCCTAAGCAAGAGCGAGATCCTGTCTCTACTAAAAACAGAAAGAAATTAGCCAAACAGTTAAAAATAGAAACAATTAGCAGGGCACGGTGGCCGTGCCTGTAGTCCCAGCTACTTGGGAGGGTGAGGCAGTGGGATCGCTTGAGCCCAGAAGTTTGAGGTTGCTGTGAGCTAGGTTGATGCCACCCCACTCTAGCCAGGCTACAGAGTGAAACTAAAAAAAAAAAAAATTTAACAACACCTCTATGCATCAAAAGATACAACAGAGTGAAAAAGTATCACAGGAAATAGGAGCCGATATTTTCAAATCATATATCTGATAAAGGGTTAAGGTCCAGAATATATAAAGAACTACAACAGAAACACAAGCCAATTAAAAAATAGGCAAAGGACTTGAGCAGACATCTCTCCAAAGATGATGTATAAATAGCCAACAAGCATATGAAAAGTTGCTCAACATCACTAATCAGAAGAGATATGCAAATCAAAACTATAATGACATACTATCTCACATTCATTAGGATAGACACTATCAAAAAGCAGAAAATAAGTATTAGCAAGGATGTGGAGAAATCGAAACCCTTGTATACTGTTGGTGGAAATGTAAAATGGTACGTCTTCTATGGAAAATAGTATGGTGGTTTCTCAAAAAATTAGACATAGAATTAATATATGACCTAGCAGTTCCATTTTTGGTTATATATCCAGAAGAACTGAAAGCAGGGTCTAGGAGTTATTTGTATACCCATGTTCATAGCAGCATTATTCACAATAGCCAAAAGGTGGAAGCAACCCAACCAATCCATTGACAGAAGAATGGATACACAAAATGTGTTATACATATACAAGGGAATGCTATTTAGCCTTTAAAAGGAGGCAATTCTGACACATGCCACAAGGATGCACCTTGAGGACATTATACTAAGTGAAACAAGCCAGTCACAAAAAGACAAACACTGTACGATTCCACTTCTAGGACGTACCTAGAGTAGTCAAATTGATAGAAACAACAGAACAGTGGTTACCAGTGTCAGGAGGAGAAGAAAAAGGGGAGTTGTCCTTTAATGGACTTTAAAATTTCAGATCTGCAAGATGAAAAAGTTCTGGAAGTTTGTTGCACAACAACTACGAAAATGTACACTCCAAAATGGTTAAGATGAAAAAGGTTTGTGTTGTATTTTATCAAAATTAAAAAATTAATATCACCTGGATCTTTTTAATGTGGCTGGAAGTTCTGAAATACATACGTGGCCTGCATTAGACTTCTATTGGACTGAACTGCTCTAAACACGTCTCCACTGCCAACTGGCACAACTTTAGCTCCTGTCAGAAGAGGGTGCTGAAAGGAAGAGTTTCTCTTCCTGGTTCTGGAGCTTTGTTCCTGATTCTATGGCACCGCAGGCAACTTCCTGGCCAGTGGGACTTGGGAGACCCAGTGGCATCCACCCTCCATCCAGTTTTGCTGGCGCCCCAGTGGACAACTTCCTGCTTACCAGCTCTCTCGTGGCACCCCAGTGACTTCTCCACCAGCCAGGGGGCCCCAGACACTCGCTCTGCAAGCTCTAAATCTCAGCTCTGAGGTCCTGCTCTCACCCGTTTATCCTTTCTGTGGAAACTCTCCCTCAGCCCCAGAGATTGAGGCCGCTACACTTGAATTCTCTGAAGTTCTCCTCACCCCTCCTAGTAGTTCATTCTCATTTACTAGATAATAATTCTTTATATTAAAATTTCCCGGCCGGATACAGTGGCTCATGCACTCCGGGAGGCCGAGGGGGCAGGATCGCTTGAGGTCGGGAATTCAATAAAAATTTCCATTCAAGTTACGGTATGGTTTGTGTCTCCTGACTGGACCTACTGGATATACTGAGTAATGAGGAGAAATAGGCGTCAGCTGAGGGCTGGTCTATTTCCAGCTCGCCCTTAGCCCCAAGATATAGTATTTTTACACTAAGATATAACTTCTTGGGGATCCAAAGTAGGGTGTTTTCCAAGCCCTTCCTCCTTGGCAAGCCCGGATTCCAGTTCTGTTCCGAGAACTGTTCTGAGACTGCTGGAAGCTCTGGGCACCTATTTAGCCTCTTTGCTGCTACTTAACAAACTGACAAATACCTGAAGGAGAAAAGTGGCACCTGATGTCAGGTGCACTTCTCTATGCCTCCCTCATCTCTGGGATCCTGGCCTATCAAGGCCTCACGGCCCAAATAGAGGAGAATTTCTATTTACACACGTGTAACATGCACACACACGCTTTTTTGGTATTCATAGAAGGATTAGTATGATACAAACTAGCCCTGACAAAATCAGGAGAAACCCAAGAAAAAATTACTGATTGTATGTTAATATTCTCAAACTAACCTCCATGCTTTTTTTCTCTTTCGAACTTTCCAGCCCTTCATCTCTCTGTGCTGCTTCCCTTCTGTTTTCCAATGCATGGTTTCTTCAGCTATGTCCAATCTACCAATGACCTTATTCCCTGATTCTCAGCCCCCAAACCCTGTATTTTTCACTGCAGAGATTCCCACTTGAGTCTTTATCATACTGAACTATTTGTTTAATAACCTCCTATTTTCGTTTGCAAAATGCTGCTACTCACTCCTACCTTTCTCTTAGATTCTAAATATATACATTTTTCAGACTTTTCAGACTGCTCCATTGTTTCTCTTTTTTCTTGGTCTTAGATTATCTTGTTTGATGGGTTTTCGACCTGCCTTCTCAGGGTGGTGGTTTTCCTTGCATGCACTAGAAATCTGTTTGCAAATTCATCTTGCATAGGAGTTTTTCCCTCCTTAATTTGTCCCTAATATCATGATTGAGCCTTGCCCTGTAGGATATGTAACTCTGAATAAGGCTCTAAATCAGTCTATTAGGGATTTCTCCAGAATGGACAACAAAACACTAGCTATTATATCTGTGTGCTGCACAGTTGTGGGTCGTATTCTCATGTCTACCTCTGTTTCCTTCCTGGGCCCCAGGAGAGCTACCCACCACTGAGTACAACCTTGAATGAAGAGGCTCCAGTCCACTGGCAAGAAGCATGGTCCCAAACCCAGCTCCCTGCAGGAGTATGTCTCTGCTCTCCTGCCATGTGCAGGGTGCACAGAAACCCTTTTCTAGGGCAGGTTTTGAAGTCTGGGCCACTGATCTCCACTCCCCTCCATTCCTGGCCCTCCAAAATTTCCCTCTTGCTTTTGAATTCAGTTATTTATTTATTTATTTAGAGACACAGTCTCACTCTGTTGCCCGGGCTAGAGTGCCATGGCGTCAGTCTAGCTCACAGCAACCTCAAACTCCTGGGCTCAAGCAATCCTCCTGCCTCAGCCTCCCTAGTAGCTGGGACTACAGACATGTACCACCATGCCCGGCTAATTTTTTCTATGTATTTTTAGTTGACCAATTAATTTCTTTCTATTTTTAGTAGAGACAGGGTCTTGCTCTTGCTCAGATTGGTTTCAAACTCCTGACCTTGAGCAATCCTCCCGCCTCGGCCTCCCAGAGTACTAGGATTACAGGCGTGAGCCACTGCGCCCAGCCAAGTTATGATATTTTTTAAAATCGTTCCTATGTGTCTGCAACAGAGGAAAGAGGATTTTAAATGTGCTTATTCTACTACATTCATAAGAAGTCCAGCAGAAAAATGTTATTATGTATCCCTTAAATACTAAAAAAAGCTCATATGCTTTAAAAAGTGATGATTATATTTTTATATATAGAAATAGATTAAACAATAAAAATGCACAGGGGAGGAAAAGACTGGAAGAATATACTCCATGAATGTTAACAGTGATAACTCTGAAATGTTGGAATTAAGGGTGATAATTTTTTTAGCCTAACTATTTTAAACACATTTTCTGTAATAATATATTAATTATGGCTGGGATGCTTTTCTTTCTTTAAGCTCACAACCCAAAGGGGATTGAATGGTGTAATTTTAGGAAGTATGAAGGCCTATATATATTCTTCCCTGTCCCCTCAGACAAATTAGCCTTTTGGGGATAAAAGAAGTTACTGGTATACTGAATAAAGAATAGTTAAGAACAGAGTCCAAGGCCTGTCATCAAAGGGCTATTAAAGAGGGAAGAATTTAAGAGGCCCTGAGGGCAACACTAGCTCAGACAGACACAAAGTGCTAATGGGGCATTTACCACTTGTTCTCTTCTAACTAACAGCAGAGTTTAGGAGGAAATACAGCCAGAGGAGGGAAAGTGAGCTAAACTAGCCCACATGCGAGTGAAAGCAAATATTTAGAAAAACAATTTAAAGTTAGCAATGGCTTCCATAGAACTTTCACAGAAAAGTCTTCCTTATGCCCGCAGACTGACTCAGGTTACCCTGCTAGGTCCCCATTGCACTCCTGTACCGCTCCTTCACAGCACTGCCATGAGTTGCAAACTCCCACTTCCTGCTATCCATTTAGTGTTCCGATCCCCACCCCACCATGCAGGCCCACGAGTGCAAGGACTCTCCGTTTTGCTCACTGCGGAACTCCCAGGATCCAGCACCACGGCAGTCAACAAACATTTCTTAATTGAATGTTGAATACAAATAAAAATATTTTTATTTAGCTTTTAGCTTCTCCATTTCCTCTATAATATCTTCTATTTTTAAACAAAATAAATTTAATTATTTGCTTAAATGACTTCATTTTATGTTAAAAAAAAATACTTTGAGCTATCAGTATTCTGTGGCTAAAGTAGAGGTGACCATAGGGCCTATTTTTCGCCCTAACCAGAACCGTTAGTAATCTAAGGATGGCGCCAGCAGTAAAGGCAGAGAACACAGGAGGACTTCAAAAGCCTCACTAAGACTTGGGTTCAAAG